TAGTAACCTCAAAGAGGTTGTCTAGTAACCTCAAAGAGGTTGTCTAGTAACCTCTTTGGGGGGCCTGCACCGCCGGCTCCTGCTGGCTATGGGTCCTGCCCGGCGCAGTATTGTTAGCCAATGTAAGGAGCGGAAGGGGCCTAGCTCGACACTCACTCACCCGGACACAATACCTCCAGCTTCAAAGAAATTATTTTCTGGTCTCCGCTTATTGGTTCTCTTTCCGTATCGAGAGTAAAAGGTGGCTGACTATTTAAAGTTACTTACATATTCTTTATGTTTAGTCAAAGGGTTTTTAAGTTATCATCCGCTAAAAACTATCCAGTGCCGCTGGCCGGCGCATTCTGCCTCCGAACGGCCGAAGGCTACTCGGCGCGGCTTGACAATACGGGAGGTGGACGGACGGCGGCAGGGCAGATCGCCCTTCCCAACACTGCGCCGTGTCACCCCCCCTTACCCCATCTTCTGCGACCCTCACCCCTTTCTTAGCCCTCGCCATAATAACTGCAGTCATAACAGTAATAATAATAATTCGGCAAAACGGCCCGTGAATCCGTGCAATCATTACGACTGTCGTATATTGACGTACCTCCCGACCGGCTGCTGCTTCCACCCTCTCTGGACCCTCTGCTCTCCCCTACTACCCCTCACCTCCCTCCTCTCCCACTACTCCTCTTCCCCTCTGCCGAGAGGCTGCAGTCTGGCGCGTCGAGTGTAGCTTTGGCAGCCCGATGCTGATTGAAGCTCAGGGGAAATCAATATCAAGCCCTTGGCTGCTGGGCAGAGCTGGTTCCGGTCCCAATGAGCGGCCGGCCAGAACGCCATCTACAATACCACAACAATAGTATAAGCCCCGGGGCCCCCGGGGCAGTCTGAGCGGGATGGGAACACAAACTCCTTCTGATGATTTTAATTAATAGAATCGCCCAACTCATTGCTGATTCTTTTTGTTTGCGAGTTTCTGGGTGTTGCGGGTGCCAGCGTCACCGTAAAGTAAGTGCACTGATGGATAAAGTGTCCGGCCCTTCAACACTTGTTTACAAGGTGTTGAAGTGCAAAGTGTTCAACTACCGAGTTTAACACTTTAAAGGGCACAAACTAGCAGCTGCGCACTTTGAAGAGTTGAACACAGCTTATTATTGTTCGTTCACGAGCACATTTGTTTATGACACAATATTTGATGTTGACGAGGGGGCCACCACTTCGATTTAGGATGTACACAGGATTACGCGATTACCTGGTTTACTCATAAACTTTGAGGGATTACACGTGGATTTTGTTGAATTTCTGGCTCTAAAACCAATTAGGTCCACCAATTTGGACAATAAGGTTAAATTTAGTGATAATGTTCTAAAATTGTGTCAAGCATTACACGGAATACATGAGGATTACATACGGATTACACTCTCGTCTGTACACAGGATTACGCGAGTGGTGGACCCCTCGGATGTTGAGCTTCAAAACTGTAGAAAAAAGAAAGACTGAAAGTCTGCGGAATATGTTTAAACAAACAACAGATAAGACACCTTTGATTGAGTCAGCATCTTATTTTGTCTGCCTGAACCCTCGCCTCGCAGAACACAGTGAACAAAGGGTTGGAGCACCTCCCGTACGAAAAAGTTTAGTCCGGCATCAGTCCGTTTTCGGTCCGCAAAGAGTCCGGCTGGACAGTCCGGCATCAGTCC